GTTACCTCACATTGCTTGGCTGATGAGTGGGACAAAGGAATATATGCAGAGGGGAGGACTGAGCAGAGCTATGAGTGAGTGGGGCAAAGGAGCATATGCCAGCAGTAGGATGCCTTAACAGAGGGAATTGCTCCTCATTCTTTGGCAAGGGGGAAAGGAGTCAGCTGAGCTCAGGTGAGAACAGGAGGAAGCAGGCAGGGAGTTTGGTATAGGCAGACTGGGAAGCCTGAAACTCCTGAGTGGCTTGGCTGGAGTGTCTCCCSCTTGGCAGGGGAAAAGAAGAGGGCCTCTTGTGGTCGGAAAATGAGGATAAAAGGGGGCTGCGTCCTCCAGCAAAGTGAGAGACCCCGCAGGGGTATGCTTGATGGACTTTCCCTTTATTCCAATAAAGTTTTAGGACTCCTCTCTTTCCCTTTTGGACATTTGGTTCTCGACAGCAAGATTTTCTGCACAAAAGTAATGGCAGTTGTGCAGAGTCCTTGGAAACTCTTAAAAGCAAAGCTGGGAGCTTTGGGGCTTTTGCACATGGTTCCTATCATCCTGGGGGCAATCAGGGCCCCTGCAGGGGGGTGGGATCTGCAGAAGTGCTCCCAGATTTGCTCCCCACGCTTCACAGCGGCGCCTGTGTGTCCTGAGCCGCGAGCCGCAGCGAGTGTTGGCACACAGCTTTGCAACCGTTTGGTGAGCACCAAGGACTTTCCTTTCTACTTTCATTTGCTTCAGAGCTCTGTGTTTGTCCTCAGTTGCCCTCCGCACCTCTCCGTTCCCACTTTGGGTTGCCCCACGCTCTTGGTGTGGCCTGGGGCCCCACATTTGCCTTGTAACACATGATAAAGCTTTGTGTTTCTTGTTGCTCGATGTTGAGTTTGAAGGGAGTTTAAATTTGGGAAGAGATGAAATCCTTTGGGTTCTTGCCGATCCTTAGAGCTTAGAAGGAATGGGAGGGTGGTTGGATTCCTCTCTTCGTGGGCATACCCAATACTATGGTAGCTCTTGGGCCTGACTCTGGCCACAATGGATTCACGAACAGTCTGTTGACTGTAGGTCCAACTGCATTCCAACCAGTTAGTCGAGTTCACAAAGAGTACGATTTCTTCAAGTGCAACATTTACAAAGCAGGTTTCGGATGTCTGTGCAGGAATTTCTCTACTACCCCATGGAGTTCTTGGCTAGCTCTAATATACCAATGTGCAATAACCACTCCCCAAGAAAATGGGAGAGGTCTCTCAAGCTCCTTGAGTCTCCTGCTGAGTTAGCGTCCAGACCTGAGGGAAGAGTTCTCCCATGCACCCCCACTGTATCCAAGGAGATGCCAGCTCCAACACCGAGAACCAAGGGTTAATTTTAAACCCTAGTAGAATCGGCATGTGGTCAAGTGCACCTCTTTTGAGCAGAGTGTTTTTTGCGATGAGATAATCACGAGGTGCGAACGGGTCCCAGCCGAGCCCTTCTGTGGGACAAGGGCCATGCCTGCCAGGCCCCCAATGCTCGCCAGGGCTGTCCTCCCCGCAGGACACGGGGGCTGGCGGCGCCGCCCACACCTGACTGCGCCCCTGGTCCCCGTGCCCGGGCCAGGGCTCCGCCTCGTGCGTTCAGCCACCCGCTGGGGGGGAGGGGGGGCCTCTGCTGCCCCGGCCGCCCCAGCTGTCCCTGATGGGGCTCGTGACTCTCCTCCCGGCCCGCTGGGTGATGGGCGGCAGCTGCCGGCCCTGGGGCCGGGACGAGCGGCAGCTGTTGAGGGACGGGCACGCGCTGCGGCCGGGACGGCCGTTGAGGGAAGCTCGCGCTGCGAGGCAGGCGCTGCCGCCGAGGAGCAGCTGCTGCTGGGCCCGGTGCCGGAGGAGGTGAGCAGGGCTGGGGATGCCACCAGGCGCTGGGGTCCCGGGCCACGCGGCCCCCTCGGGGCGCGCCGGAACGGGGCAGCTGCCCCGGGGCCGGTAAGGGCGGCGGGACCCGAGGACGTGGTGGGCGAGAGCGGTGTCCCTGGCCGTGGAGCGGGGGTGGAGGAAGGGTGCGCGCCGGGGTGGAAGCCATGGGGGCGGGCAGGGCAGGGCAGGGCAGGGCGCCCGCCCGCCCGAGCTAGGCTGCTCTTTGTCCTGGGCAGGACCTGGTCGTTGCTCTCAGGTTTCTTTCGTCCCGGGATTCTTTTGTTGCCCGGGTTTCTCGGGGAGTTGCTCTCCACTCTCCATAAGAAGCTTTTAGTCTGCACAGGATTCCCCCGGAGAGTTTTGTGCTGTCGAGTTTTTTCTCGGTCCTGCAGAGCCCCAGAAAGGCCTTTGCTTTACTCTGGAGTGCTGAGTGTTTCCTTTCGTGCTGCAGCTCCATTGGTGCCCTTTAGTCTTGCTAGGACCCTCTAGTTTCTTCAGAACTGCTTCCTGATGCCATAGTTATGCCCTGTGTTGGTTCTCTGGACTTGTTAGCACCTCTGTGGTCTCCTCCACCTGGAAATACAGAGCTAGGACTMCCCTAGCGGGGAGCAACAAATTCCTTTCTGCCCATTAACACATCCTTTCTGCTCATTAGCACCTTGAGATAATGTTCCCTTCGTAGCAGTGTTTCAGGACCCAGGACATTGTTGATGCCAAATGTCAGGGTGGCAGGAGAAATGTAAAAGGACTGTTAAGGGGAGTAAGYGAGGAGCCTTGAATTGGGAATTACTTGTTACAAACTAGTGCTACAAAAGAAGGGACCATCTGCCCTGTCAGCAAAATCTGGAAGAACTGCCCCACAACCGGGTTTTCTTGGGAAGCGTCCACTCTAGGGGCAAAGTGTGTCCTGGTCAGGGGGAACGTGACCACCGACTCAGTCACTGCCTCCTTGAGAAACCCTCTGCCTCAAAAGAAAGAGTAACAGTACACGTGTGGTTATCTGAGGGGTCTGTAAGAAAAGCTGAGCGATCGTGTGGTAGTTGAATTGCAAAATACCCTAGAGAGGCGGAATGTACCAACGGTTAGATGATGAAGATGATTTAAACCTAAATGATTTAAATCTATATCAACAGGCTAAATATGCAGGTTATCATCTGTCTGTGAAGAATTTGTTGTTTTTCAGCTTTTCATCAAACTGTGGAGTATGGAGGATTTCAGTGTGGCAGTGCGCAATTCCTATAAACTAGCCAGCTTGTCTGTAGCAAAGACTTTTCAGAGGATATTTGGGATATTTGGTTTTGCCTGTAGAGTCTTTCTGCAATGTAAATCCTGCTGCCACAGCTGTTAAGGACTAGAGGAATACTGTAGCTGTGGGCAGCTCTGTCGAATGAGGATTCTCTTGCTGCTTCTATTCTCTTTCTCTCTCAAGTGAGTGCTGGTCTGCAGGAATAACACAGACCCTTTGCTTTGCTTTCAGTGCCTCCGTTTTTGACTTGGAAGGTGGGTGTCGGCTTCTGCAGCTTTAGCCAGCGCCTTGAGAAAGGGCTGAGGATGGCATTCATGGAGGAGCGCAGATACCAGCAAGCATCAGCAGAACTTGTACAAGTTCACTGTGCAGGTGAGCAGCTTCATGTGTGTTATATCCCCCCACCTTCAGTTTTCTTGTGTTTCATCAAGCCTCAAATACTGAGTTAAGCATTCACTGTTACCGCTTGCTTTCTAGATCACACAGAACTCTGGAGCTTTGTCATAAAGTTGGCACAGTTTGGCACCCCACATACTTCTGGGCTAGAACTTTGTGATGATGATCAAAGAAGATGAAAATTTGTATCAAAGATCAGTCGTGAATCTAACAGGAAGATGAATGTAGTCGTATATTTTTCCCCTAAAGGTTATCCGTCCCTTTTTAAAATCATTGCTATCAGACCTTGCAGGCTAAATTAATCTGGAATTAACTGAAGTTCCTCTACTCTGATGTAGTGTACCAGTTCACATTAGGAAGAAATTTTGTGTGAAGGAAGGAATGCCAATGATGTGATTTTTTTTTTTTTTTTTTTCCCTAGCCTTGTTCCAATCTTGTTTTTCAGATACAGACTATAACTCTGAGTAGGGCTGGGGCAGCACTTTGACAGGGCTCCATGAACATTGTTTTTGCCATCCAAGATAAATACAGCTTTCAAAATGGGTCTGATGTCAGTGAGCAGCTGAGAAACTTGCCTGTGGTTGAACTCATCTTTCTTCTGTGGCAAATTGCTGAACATGTGTACTTGCTGCCACCAAACAAGTGGTGGAAAATGCTGAAATACAGTTTTTAGTATATGGTGATGGTGTTTTGCACTCCTCCTTCCCCTTCTGTGTAAGTTTAAACTTACAGTGTAACTTCAAATATTTCATTTATGTCAGAAACTTTGCAGAGGAAATCGATACCTCTCTTTGCCCAGATATTATGCACTGATGTAAAAGAACATTTTAATTTTACCAGCATCCTTTCATTCAGGATTAGTCAAATTGTGCCTAAACTCATTTTCCGTTGATATTGCTTCAGATGCTAAAAAGAAGTGTCTGAGTGACTGCATCATTGCATAATCTGTGGTTTGCATCATAGCTTTGCTCTCTGGATGTTGCTCTCATTCTTTCTGCCCCTGCAGCATGTCCCGYGCTGCACAGCACTAGTGCAGGAGGTGTTGGTTGTGGCCGTACTTCATTGCAGCCTTCTCATCGAGCCCTCATCAGTCTTTCTGGAACTCAGTATCTTATGCACGGCAATGATTCCTCTTGTGTAGGATTTTGCTCTATGTTTGTTTCTGCTCTGTGTGTGTGTCTGTTTGGGACAGGAGTTGCCTTGGTGTGTGTTCACGGTGGCAGTGTATAGAGTGTTGTGGTGAGGGACTGCAGTGGTGATTGCTCAACCACTTTGTGCTGCACTTCCAGTTGTTCTTGTTGTTGTACTTTTGTCTTGTTGCAGATATTGGGCCCTGTTCTGAGCAGGCCTTAGGGAGATGGAGGAAGGAAGAGTTGTGYACTAATAAGCAGGTGAGTTGAAAGATCGCTGTTGCAAGAAGAGTGTTGTGGTTGATGGCTCCCCTCATGYGTTTCTGCTTTGTGCGTGCAGGTGTGGAGCAACATGGTAAGCAGCGTGCCCACGTCCCAAGCAAGCACAGTGAGGTAAGTGTTGCTCTGTGAGAGGAATTGGAGATTAGCATAGGGCGAGTGTCTTATTGGCGTTGTCCCCATTGCCCGCCACTGTTCTGCTTCTACAGGTGCTGTGGCAGCTTCCCTGTGGTGACAGAACCCGGCAGTCGGCAGGGGCAAGCAGAGCAGGTAAAGGTTTCGGGAGTGAACACTCCATGGGAATGGGCTGCGGTCTTGCTCACATCACTGTAGCATGTGATTTCCCTGTTTTTGCAGAATCTTTCAGCGAGTTGAAGAGAGGAGCAGTTGGAGTGCTGACAAAAGCCTCAGTGGGTGAGAGGAGAAGCTGTTGTGTTCTTAACTTCTTGTGCATCGGGCACTGTTGAGCTGTCTCTCAGTAATATCTTGCCTTCCGCTCTGTTCRAGTCGCACTGGGCCTTTCCCCACTGACATCTGAGTCCTTCAGGTGTGCGGATTGTGTTGCATCTTTTGGGCTTGGTGAGTGTGGCCCAGCAAGCAGCAGAGTGCCAGTGAGCAGAGCATCCATGGCGCTTTGGAGGTGGCTCTTCTGGCGGCTGAGGCTGTAGCTGAGTGGCAYAGAGGTCACTGCCTGCCTTTTGTTTCTACAGGTGACAAAGACCATCGGTAGCTCTGAGAGAGCGTGGCTGCCTTTGAGGATGCACTGTGAAGAGTGATGGTGACCCAGAGTACTGCAGATGCTCAACTGATGGGCAAAAAGACTGTTTGTGCTGCCGTTGAGCGCAGACCAAAGGCRTCTTCCGGATGAGCGCAGTGTGAGAGGCAGTGCAGTGCGCGTGTTGGAAAATGAGAGCGGACAGCTCCCGCCTGTCTGTGGTTTGCATTGCAGCTTCAGTTTCTTTTACTCAGGTCCTAGTACTGCGCCCGTTGTTTGTGCTCCCAGAGCACATCCTGCACTGCGGGGCGCTGGTGCAGGAGTCATCCATTGTCTTTTGCCATGCCTCAGCAGCGTTGTGCTGGTGGATGGCAGCTTGTTCTGTGCGGCCAGATGAAATGAGCTCTGTCATTTATGACTGGACATCTTTGCAGCCCTCRTCGTGGTCTCATCTGTAACTGCTGTTCTGGGGTTTTGCTCCGCCGCCACTGTGGGCTCTTGTGCCTTCCTTCACAGTTTTATTTCCTGTGTTGTCAAAGTCTTAGGCCTTGTTGGCTTCTTCTGCATTTCTCTTCTGGACTTCGCTGGCTCCTTTCTGCCACAGGCAGTGGTATATGACTCTCTGTTCTTSTCTAGAACATCAGAGCTGCACAGTTGTGCTCTTGAAGAGCTTACTGGCCAGTGGTAGCTTGTGTGGGGGGGGGCCGGAGTTGTGTGTAGCCAGGGTAGAATAGAAAAACTTAGCCTTGAAATGTTTGGGGGTGGGATTTCACTAATTTATAACTGAAGGTTATATATATATATATATATATGCACACACACATATGTACACACACACACATTTTTTTCATTATTTAGTGTAGCCTATCATTAATTCTGGTTTGTATTTTCACGCTGTTAAGGTGAAAGCTTGGTTTCTGAAGCCCTTAGAAGAAGCTGCCTGCTTCAGACTAGGTATTTGGGAGATGAAAGCACATCTATATGAAAGACATGCCCAACCATAACARTTTGTTTTCAGACTGTAATAGTAGTGATACTGATTTGGTAAAATAATAATAAAAAAAAACTAGATATGCTGTAAAGTAGAGCAGTCTCTTTGCTGAAGACAGACATCCTTATGGTGCTAATGCGCATGGGCCGAATGAAGACCGCACTGCACATGTGGTCAAGGGGCCAACTCTTTGCCTGCATGCAAGGGGCTCCACCGCTTGTCTTTTGCTTGACTGCTTTCACATGGGAAGGAGGCTGTCCAGTGTCAGCACAAAGTGGGTGCATGCGCAGTGCACCCCGGAGCACTGACTGCAGCCATCCTGTAGTTACGAGAAGTACTGCAATGGTTAAGGCCCATGCAGGTGCACTGCAACTGCTGCACTCAGTGCTGCTCTCATGTCCAAAAATGAGTACTGCAGAGATATTGTGCACATGTACCCTATGTTTCCACCCCTAAGAGCTGCACTCACACATCCAGAAAGTAAAACTGCAAGCAAAGCATTTTGACAGCTACCTCAGAATGGAGACATCATCTTAAGATCCTAGAAAGGACCGGGACTAGACAGTAACATTTTTCTTGCACCCSCCTTTGAAGGAGCTGCTTGCCTCAGTCCAGGTAAGGATGGTGGATACATTCATATCTATATAAAATAGGGGGGTTCTTATCCTTTAAACAGGAATAGCTGTTTGACTACAGGCACTGTTGAAAAAATAACAAAAAAGTAAAATAAAATACAAGTCCTGGCATTCAGGAAAGTGAATGAYCCCCTTGAACTTGTCAGTAAAGCAAAACTGCTACTGCAAGGGCAGTGCATATGTGCCCTGCAGTGGTCCGCGCCACCTTCCTGTGTCTAAAAATGGGTACTGTAATGGTAAGGGGTTAATGGGGGATGTGGATGCACAGTGCACTGTGGCACCCTCACCATGTTGGAAATTCAGTACTGCTCCGTCAAAGGAGCCAGTGCTTGTGCTCTGTGCTGCCCGTGCCTGTTCTAACATGCAGAGATGTAATAGAAACAGGACGTACCTGCACATTCTGACAGGTAGCAGTAGAGGGTCGGTGTCCTATCACTCCCTTGTAGTGGCCAACTCAGAGTGGACTGCAAAATTTTTTCTGCCACCAGCTTTGGATAATCTGTTTTTCCAGGTAAAAGCTGTATGCCTATATATGTATTCAAGAGCAGGGCTGGAGCCTTTGGTATTCTTCTTATTAAAAAAAATAATAAAACGAGGTTCACACACTAATGGTTAAAAGAAAAAAAAATCATACAGGAAAGCAAACAAGCCTCTTGAACTTGTCAAAACCACAGAACCTCAGGTGTAAGGTGCAGGTRTAACCTCTGCATTGTGCTGCACTTCCTGCTACCCTCCTGCACCTAAAAATCAGTACTGCAATAGCTGGGGGTGAAGTGCAGGGGCAGAGTGTATATGCACAGATTGTTGTGCTTGCTGCTGCCCTCCACTATTGAAGTAGCTGTCCTGAAAAGGTAAGGAGAAGCACATGCACTTAGTGCTCCCCAGGGCTTGCTGCTTCACTTGAACATCAGAGAAGCAGAAGTGTGGCCATTACTCTGGATTCCCCACTATCCTCCAGCAGCTTGCTGGTGTGGACACGTCACTGTCAGCTGCTACTCTCTGACATTTCAGTAATCATCAAGAGATCCTCAGACAAGACCATCAAGTCCAACTGTAAGCCCTTCAATGCCATGCTTGTTAAACCGTCCCCTTGTCTCATCTACACATTTCTGGAACACTGGCAGGGACAGTGACTCCACCACTTTGCTAGACAGCCCATTCCCATATTTAACGACTCTTACATTGAAGAGTTTTTTCCTAATGTCCAATCTCAATCTCCCCTGTCACAACTTGAGGCTGCTGTTGGTCTCATCTGCTCCCTCCCTCTCTTTCCACTTCGGGCCTCCACTTGGTCCCTTCTTGGCGGCATCTGTATGGTGGCTGTGGTCCCATCTCGCGTGGCGCCTCCGTTGGGGCCTCGCGTGGTGGCAGTTGGCATGTGTACAGCCACAGGCAGGAGCATTGTGGAGGAGCGTGGTGAGGGGATCTGTGGCCCTTTGGGTGGTTGGAGGTCTTTGGCTGTGTCCTGCCAGTGGGGCTCTCGCTGTGTGAAGGTGGAAGTGCGGGGCTTGGGTTGGCACAGATTTGATACCGTCTCTGCCTGTGCCTGGAGTGCAGAGATGATTTGCCTGTTTTATGTGCATCCCTTTAGGGTGCCAGTTCTTGCTCAGAGCAGGTGCACTTACTGCTGCGGAGGTGGGGAGGAGCCGGCAGTGGGAGAACGTAGCCTTGGTGCTCCACATCTGTAAGATGGGCAGCTCCTGCTGTGACAGCCACAGCTGAGAGGGCTGGTCAGCCCCGAGGAAGCGGAGAAGCTCAGGACTGAAACGGATAAGGTTGACTGGCTCTGCTGGAACAAGGGCTCTTGGCGAGGGCCCTGCTGCCTCTTCTGGTGTTCTCTGTGAGCTTGTAGAGGGAGCCACCAAAGAAGGCTCTTTCTGATAAATATGGGATGTGACTGTCTCTGCCATTTTGATTTAGACCCACCAAGTGAAGAGGAATTGACGGCCTTCCTTGGTGCAGAATGTTGGTAGGTTGGCATATGGGGGACAAGCGAGTTTTTATCTCAAAAGAGAATGAAACGCTAGCGAAGAGCTTAAAAGAACCCTGCTACTTTTAATTACTCCCCTTTAATCAGCAGCAATGCCACCAAAACAGAAGGCACTAAAGAGGGTACCTGGCAGGTAAGGTGGAGCATCGCACCCTRTGAAGATATCAAGAGTTACATCAGTCACCCTGAGAAATAATTGGAGGARTGGTCCAAAAACCTGACCTCTTGTTTTGGTTGGTTTGGCAGGGTAGCTGACTGGATGGGGATGTCCATTAAAGAAGATCTTGGGACTTTATGATCTGGTCATTCTTACTAGTCTTCATCATCTGTGCCCGCACACCTGCCTGTCGGGAATATTAGAGTTGCTGCAACCAAAAGGTGAGGGCTTGGAAAGAGGTGGCCAACCCAAGTGCTGTTCTTTTCAAACTCTAATTATTCCATTCCACTTATTCTTGCTCTCTCATTTAATCTCCTTTTTTCCCCTCACCATAATCCTATTTCTTTCTCTCTCAGTAATTGCTTTTCGCTCGTCATAATAATTCCTTTTTGTGCTCCCCTGTAATAACTGATTTATGTTATAAATATCAGTTTTATTATGTTACGTTTATTTATACTATGTTTAATTTATGTTATAAATCAGTTATTGATAACTGATAATGATAATGATTTCGTGCTCCCTGTTGTAATAACTCTCTCCCCAATAATTCCTTCTTGCGTGCTCCATAATAATTCTTCTGCGCTCCCCCTTTCTCTCCCCGTAATGATTCGTTCTTGCTCTCCACAATAATTCTTGCTCTACGTAAAAATTTTCCCATGCACTCTGCAACCATTTCTCTGAACCCACACTCCTCTGTATTTCTTTCCTGTACACCCTGTAATAACTGCTGTACTCTCCGTGATAATTCCTCTTCTTCTCTCTCTGCAATAATTTCTCTGTGCTTCAACTTTCTCTCCCTGTAATAATTCTTTTTCGCTATCTGCAATGCTTATTCCGCATGCTCCGTAAAAATTATTTTCTGCACACTCTGCAATAATTCCTCATTACCCCTTTCTCTCCCCACAATAACTGTTCCACACTTTCCGTAATAAATCCTTCTTCCTCCTCCTTTCTCTCTTTGTAGTCCTATTTGTATGCTCTGCAATAATTCTTTTTTTGCATCCCCTTTTTTACCCTGTAGGAATTGTCACTCCCTGCACCGTTTCATTTCTATGTGCAATTATAATTGATTCTCACTCTCCACAGAAATTCTCTTTAGCACTCCATAATAACTCTTTCCTGAATTCCTGTAATAACTTGACCGTGCTCCTCCTTTCGTTTTCCATAGTGATTCTCTTTGAATATAGAATCAATACAGAATGAATGAATATACATGAAGACAGAATAACAATTCTGTTTTTCTCCTGCTGATACTTCTGTTCTTCTTCCACTGATAGTTCTGTTTTACTCCCATTAAAAATTCTCTTCCTCTCTCCCTTAACATTTCCTCTTTCCTCCTAATTTCCCTCCTGCCAATAATTCCCTACCAATGCCCTTCATACTTCTTTTGCTCTCTCGCTGATAATTTTATTCTTATTCGCCTCATAATCTTCTTTCTCTTGAGGTAGTAATTCTATCTTTCTGACCCCCAAACAATCTCTTTTTTTCTCCTGTTAAAATAATCTCTAATACCTATCTTCCTTTCTGGTTAAAATTATCCCTTCTTCTACTGCTTATAATTATTTTCCTATTTCCTTCATAATTCTCTTGCTCTCCCACTAATAAATCTCTTCTTCTTTCCACTAGTAATATTAGTCCTCTTCCCCAAATGATTCTCTTTCATGCCACATAATAATWCCCTTTTTATTCCCCTARTAATTACCTTTTCCTGCTAATAAATCTCCTTCTATCCTGCTAAAAATTTTATTCATATTCTCCCAACAATTCTCTTTCACTCTAGGTAATAATTCCCTTTGTATTCCCCTAATAATTC